TTCAGTAGGCCAAGCTTTATATACAGTGGGGGAATGAACTAGGTATTAGTAATGGCGCATGTTTAACAGTGCTTGTCACAGGACTGAACCCTTCTCTCCATTGCCAGTCCATTCCAGTCTTGGAAAATACATATTGAACAAATTATACCTAAATTAAATGCAGCTTGCTATGCGATGAGATCAATTAAGCCTTTTATGTCACAGGAAACATTGTAGATGGTTTACCATGCCTACTTTCATTCTATTATGAACTATGGATTAATATTTTGGGGGAACTCTTCACATAGTGTAATAATTTTTAAAATACAAAAGAATATAATAAGAATCATTACAGGATGTAGAAGTAGAGATTCATGTAGAGAATTATTTAAGAAATTAAAAATTCTACCGCTTCAATCGCAATACATATTATCGCTTCTCCTATTTGTTGTTTACAACAAAGATAAATTCAAATTAAATTCTGATGTCTATAACATGAATACTAGACAAAAATATAACTTCCACCTACCCTCATCAACTTTATCAGTATATCAAAAAGGAGTCTACTTTACTGGCATAAAAGTGTTCAACAATCTGCCACAAAGTATTAAAAACTTGGGCAATGATACTAAAAAGTTTAAATCAGAGTTAAAGAATTATCTACATGCTCATTCCTTCTACTCTTTAGATGAATACTTCAATGTAAATAGAGAATGATGTAAAATTAAGTTATATTAATTTTTAAGCTAAAATTGCCTGTACTTATGTATGTAACATTTTGACTTGTTCTGTATCCAAAGGTACTAACCTGCTTAGAATTTATAGAATGTAAATAAATTCAATTCAATTCAATAACAGCATAGTGGAAAAACAGCCGGAGAAGCATACAAAATGATGAAAAGAGTGTACGGTAGTGGTTGTTTGAGTCGCTCGAACATTTTTCGATGGTATGCTGTATTTTGTGACAGCAGGGAGGACATTGAAGACGCTCCACGTGCATCAAAGCCGAGAACAAGTCGTAATGAAGAAAATGTAAAAAAAGTGACCAAAATCCTTGCATCAGACAGATGTGTTTCTGCAAGACTCATAGAGGAGCTTTTGAAATAGCAAAAATTACTGTGTATAAAATTTTGACCAAGGATTTGGGCAAATGGAAGGTCTGTGCGTGGTTTGTACCGCACACGCTATCAGGCGATGGAAAACATACCAGAGTGGAACACTGCAAAGACATGTTACGGTCGGCCCAAAGTGACAAAATTTACAAAATCCATTGTTACTGGTGACAAGACATGGTGTTCAATATGAGCCTCTCACAAAGCAGCAGAGTGCAGCGTCTTTGAGCCCAAAGAAGCTGAAACCAAAGAAAGTGTGCATGCAAAAGAGTTGAATTACGATTATTATCTCGGAGTTCTCAATCGTTTGTGGGCGAGAATTCTTCGAATTTGACCTGAATATTGAGAGCAAGGTTCCTATTCGCTCCTCCATGACAATGCCCCACCCCACAAATTGAAGATTGTGCACGATTTTTTGGCCAGAAAGGGATCACAGTCTTTGATGATCCTCCGTATTTGCCAAATTTGGCTCCAGCAGATTTCTGGTTGTTCCCAAAAGTTAAGTTGGCGATGAAAGGAGACTGTCACGACACCATCCAGGACATCCAAATGGAATCTACCGCAGTTTTAAGTGCGATTCCACAAAAGGAGTACAGTAACTGGTTTCGAAAACTTTTCAATTGATTCCTGCTATGTATTGATTCAGAAGGAGACTATTTTGAATAAAAAGAGTGAAATTTTGAAAATAATTCACGTATTGTATTTTTAATGAACACAGTCGTAACAGAACCTGGACACACTGTGTATATCCCAGAAGTTCTGCTTTTTGCTTTGACATTTCGGTCACATACTGGTTCATTAAACTCACTTTGCTTAATTAAGTAGGCATGGTTATTTGCCAACATGGATCAGAAGATGTTGACGGGCTTTCCATATTCTCTTATTCTTCATTTAGAATAGAAAGTTCCTTTCAGTTAATTGGTAGTACAGTAGTACAAGTATCTTCTGTGTGTGGCACTAGCTTCATTGCAGAATGAATGTATGGTTATTCCACTTTATTTTTACCACTTCTAATTCAGAAGGCCAGTGGTGATGGTGTCATCAAATGTCTGAATACCACTTAATTGAAAGAAGAGCTAAGGGTCCCTTCGCACCGAATGAGTCCAGTCCAGTCCAGTCACGTCGTTTCAGTCATTAGGTTTCATACTGAATACATCTTTGTCAGTCAGTGATCATTCTTTCTCCTGGCCAGATGGACGTGGAAATGATTGTGTTTATTATAGTTAGAAGATTGTAGAGGAGGAGGGAAAGAAGGTGAAAGAAAATGTTTTGTTTGTAATTCTTCTGCTATGCTTCTCCAAACACTAGCAATGTAGTCTTTATTTCGATGATTTGGGTCCTTTGTGTCATATATTTCACGTCTACTTCTCACTAGAATTATAAGTTTCTCGACATCCATATTACAATAATATGTTACAAATGAAACTGATTAAAGCGCGTGTGACTCATAAACGAGACGCACGAAGACTGGCAAGAAATTCAACTGGATGAGTCCTGGCCAGTCATGACTGGACTGGACAAGATGCGTGCAGTGTGAAAGAGATTATGACATTTCCTTGTGTTGCTATGCGAAGCCAGTCAGATGAGTCAACGGGAGTCCGACACGACTGGACATGACTGGCTCAGACGGGTCCAGTGCGAAATCAGCCTAAGGCAACAGAACACACAGTCAGGCTTCAGTATACACAGGTTTATGACATGTCCAATATGTACACACTTGTTAAGATACACAGCTTCTGCTAGTGTTCACCAAGCTATGCTTCTTTTATAAATGTGTGTGTGAAAAATGGCCATTACAGTTTTCTTCAAAACAAAATGTTTGTATGCAGGTTTGGAATCAGTGTATTAGAATTAACTTAAAAAGTTATTTTTTGTGTTATGCAAATATAACCTTGTTGACTAAGAGTAATTACTCTGCAGAGTGTATCAGGAGTCCTGTTATGCCATTAGTTTAGTTAGGAAATTGGGAAGTGGAATGAAGCTGATAAGTTATTAATTTACACATATATTGAACCCAGAATATGGTATACAAAGCATAACTTATATTATTTGTTATTATTTATTAGTTGACTTCATTATGTCTAAAGTACAGACTAAATGCCTTTCCATGTCCTGTGAGCAGCATAACATTGTTAATGTTTTTTTAGCAAATACATTGCATACTGCCTCTTTCAATTCTTCAATTGTCTGATAATGTTTTTGAAATACATAATGTTTGATGGTTCCCTGAAACACGTAACAAGATGACAGATTATGACTTCTTGGAGGCCACTCCAGAGGTGCCACAAGACTGGCTGAGTCACAGCCTATCCACTTGTAATAGAAGATGTCACTGAGGTAATCTCCCACTGATATCACATAATGAACAGGTGCTCTGTACTGCTGGATCGAAACTTTACTAGTAAGATTCGTGCATTCAAATTGTGTCACTAACCAGTCTCTCAGTATGGTCAAAGAAATGTGCTGGTTCACTGAACCTGTGAAGAAGGATGGATGATATGAAGTTTGCCTGATATTCCTGCCCCTGTAACATTGGGTAGATTGTGCCCTAATTCTTTGTGAACATGTAGATTTTCTTTACACCAGGAACAAACTATTTCTGCTTCTTAAACTGCGATGAATTGCACATTCATCAGTAAAAGTAAAATCATCACATTTTGGAATTGCAATGAAGACACCAAGAAATCTGGCCTGTGCATTCTGTCTCTTTTGCAGGTCATTATGACCAAAATCCTTTGCAGATGTTCGTGGAAATGCTTTGAAGCCAAGATCAGTTTTAATATGCGTGTGTATTGATGCTTCAGGAATACCAGGATCTGAGGATTATTACTGGAGTAACTCCTTTGGTGAGCTCAACAGAGATGTTGCAACATTGGCACATTTTTCATGACATTTGGATGGCTGACCAAACCTTGGCCAGTCTTTGACATTACTCATTGAAAAGGCTTTCTTATCCACCATAACATGATCATCTTGGTGAAGTGTGGCTTCGTTGAATCTTATCTGAAAATCATCCCTGAGTATGTGGATTGTCTTCCCAATGTTGTGCCTTTCATGCACCCATGTGCGCATTACTGTACTCTCAGTACTGTGATTTGATTGGTCTTCCAATTTCTATTCCTGGAATAGAAAAGAAAAACACCTGTTATAAAATGTGTCTCAGTATCAGAAACAACTAATGGGGTAACATGAGTTTTGATGAACACTGTAAGCCTCGAAGAAAGCAGTCTTCTGGGATTTGGCACCGTGTATATGTGGTGTTAACCGACGTTTCGGAGGAACGTATCGCCTCCATCTTCAGGGTAGAAGAAAAAATATAAGAAATCTGCAAGCAAAGAGACCGTGAGAAACGGTAAAAGCAGACTGTGGTAGAAAAAAAAATATAAGAAATCTGCAAGCGAAGAGACCGTGAGAAACGGTAAAAGCAGTTTTACCGTTTCTCACTGTCTCTTCGCTTGCAGATTTCTTATATTTTACCGTTTCTCACGGTCTCTTCGCTTGCAGATTTCTTATATTTTTTCTTCTACCCTGAAGATGGAGGCGATACGTTCCTCCGAAACGTCGGTTAACACCACATATACACGGTGCCAAATCACAGAAGACTGCTTTCTTCATAGTCACCGCCGTGAAAGCCTCAAATCTTACACTGTAAGCCTCAATTATCAAATCCTGTCAAAATGAAACATGGGTTTGACATTCCTCTTACATGATTATTTCCTGCGCTTCATGCAAAGAATGCATAAGAAATTGTTTCAGACATCTCTTCATTTCTGTATACTTAGTTAGAACTGAAAGTTTAATATTATGGCAGTCAGCAGTGAGAACCTTCTAAATTTGTGAGTAATCTTTGTCCTATCACACTGGTAATGTGTTGTGGCAGAGATGCTAATATAGAATGTTCCTTTATAGGTATCTGCCACACATGTGGGGAAAAGGTTACAGGAGCAGGGCAGGCTTGCCAGGCCATGGGGAACCTGTACCACACAAACTGCTTTATTTGCTGTTCATGTGGGCGAGCGCTGCGTGGAAAGGCATTCTACAATGTCCATGGACGTGTGTACTGCGAAGAGGATTATCTGGTAAGAAAAATGGAAAATGAGTCTAATGTGTGTACCACCAGCCAGCCAGCCAACCTAGGTGCATATTATCTATGCATCTATCGTTATATGAAAAGAGTATCTGCATAACTTATGGAAAACTGGGCCTGGGTTTTATAATAAGACAAAGAAATACATTAAATTCACTATTTTGTTTCTGACATAGTAACCACCTTAAGTGGACCAACACTGGTTGAACCATGTAGTGGAAGTAGTTTAAATAATAAAAATATTTGATACCAAGAAAGATAGTTGTGTTGATGGTCACAAAGAAAGTGGTACATAGGCTGTACTGATAACCCTGTAGAATTCATGAACATTACACCTTATTCCTTGTCTCTGTCCCCCCTTCCTGCTTCAAGTCACTTGAATTTTAAAAACAAACACACTTCATGTTCCAATTGCAACTCACTTCAACTTTTCAGCATTTTTTTCTTTTCATGTAGCTAAACATGTTTTGACACTTCAGTTTTCAATACTTGACCATGTTATCTCTTCAGAGCAGAAGCTTCAGTCATTGTATTTAAATACTGCACAAAATGTAACAGTAAACTATATCCTTAGAAATAAAGCTAAAGATGTACAGTAAATGTTGAAGTAAAATGAATCTTTTGTATACTGTATTGAACAGTGAACTTTGCAAGAGCTGATAACACTGCAGGGCTGTTGCATTTAGCAAGCTAGACTTTGGTATGTGAAAAAAGAAGAACTACACTTCTTCTTGGGGAAGGTATGCTACCTGTGTGGAGATATAAACTAAAAGTGACAAAACTTGCATTTATATGTTGAAGAAATTATTGTTGCAGTGCAAGGAGGAAAATTAATTTATGATTTAATTATTAATTTTGCCATTGTTTACAATTTCTGTGCAAGTACCCAGGTACTGTTTGAAACCTGGCCAGCATTTACATCTTCTGTGCAAAAATTTAAACCCAGGCTACTGATTTAGCCCTATCATTCAATCCAACATTTAAATTATCTGTAAGATTATATGAAATTTTTTTGCATATGTAATGTGTTTGTTGTGTTTCAGTATTCAGGATTCCAGCAGACAGCTGAGAAGTGTGCAATTTGTGGCCATCTTATCATGGAGATGGTAAGATCCCATTTATTACAGTTTCATTTGAGGCCTTGAGTACTGAATTAAATGAATGGACCCTTATTACTCCCCAAAAATGATTCATTGTAGCCTTTGATATTGTGGAATAGCTCTTGAATACCATATTTTTTATTTTATTATTTATTTAGAGAGGGTGGGTTTCCCCATGCACGGCGACCAGTTTGATCTATTGTGCTTCCCTCTATGATATTCTACCAGTCTCTTTACCCTGCCGATAAATGGTGCGTACCATCAGTCCCGCCGAGCAAGTGAGTTCGGCCACTTGCTTAGCAGTGTCTATAATGCTTCCCCCATCTATCAGAGGCCTTAGAGGCTATTGTTGGGCGGGAAACGTCCTGGAATTTGGCTCAGTGATCCCCTTTGGGGATATGAGGTTCTTTTACATGCCGTAAAGTTACGACACGGGACACACAGCTTAAAGCCCCTCCCGGAGGACTTGCTCCCTGAATTTTTAAGCTCTTAAAAATTCGACGACCTCCGCCGGGTATTTGAACCCGCGTACCACGAGTCATGAGGTGGGAACGTTACCTCTAGACTACGGAGGCCGCTTTGAATACCATATCAATAATGTCTTTCAACTTGGAACTCTTTAATTTGTTATTTTCATACTGTTGTTATTGAATAGGTGTTACTAAAGTGGCTGCAGGCTGGACAGCTGATGTTCAGTGAGGTGGTCTAAGTTTCAGGTTTGAGACTAGCTGATAGTTTTTCCACACTCTATATATGAGACAAACACCATCTTAAGTGTAACAATTTAATTGTAGTTTTTTTTTCTTTCCCTCCTCCACTACATGTTTCGGCCCTAAATGGCCATCATCAGGTGTGTATTCTTACGTAGCTGTTACACTGCCTGTTAAAATTTAAAATCACCAGTCTTTCTAATTGTATAAAATTTTTCTTAACCTACACGCGTTAATTTGTTTTCTAAATTTAGCACTTTTTTAAAACTTTAATTCAAGTTAAAATGTCTATAAGATTTTTGTTCTTTTTCTTTTTCAAATTTTGAAATTAAAATTTCTCAGGGTACATGCCCTATGTCTATAGTGCTGCAGCGGCCACTTCTTGTTTAACGCTGTTCAGGTATCGTCTGTAATATACAAATATTCGTATTACTATCTTATGTTGTTATGTTATTCTTATATGTTTATACTGTTATTTGTACTTACTCTGTGTAGGCTCTCTCTGTGTGTGTCGCTGCTTATCTTTAATACGTGTGCTGTCTGGTGTATTGTGTACTGTGTTTTATGTTGGTGAGTGCTGGAGGGGGAATGGGTAGTGGGGAGAGGGAGGTGCCGTTAGTCTGTATAGATTTCGTGTATCATTTGAAATAAGGGATTGTGTGTTTCTGTGTGTGTGTCATTCATGTGTAGGCCTTTCTTACTTATTTTATATGTATGGTATTTCTCTAATGTATTCAAATGTCTGCCCTTCTTTCCCGTTGTTAGAAATTCCATTACCTCTGTTATTTTTCTGTATGCATGTCCTGTATTTAGTATATGATTTGAGTACCCAGAATTGCTATCATTATTTCTAATATCATGTATATGTTCTTTATATCTGGTGTTAAATATTCTGCCCGTTTGCCCAGTGTATTTCAATGGGCAGTCTACACATTTCATTTGGTATATGCCACTTTTATTGTATTTATCTAATTGTGGTTTTTGTTTGAGTATATTTTCT